CAACAACTTAAAACTAAGTAGTTGATCGAGTAAATCGATCTTTAAAATATGACCAAGATGCTTGACAATTAGGGGTTAAAGTATGAAGTTGCCTTCTTATATCTTATATTGAAAAATTCAAACTCCTTTTTTTAAATTACATTTAATTATTTAATCGAAGTGTTTCTCTCGTGCCTTTGCGATGGAACTCTGGGTATCTCGATGTAGCGCTCTCTGGAAACATTTTTTTTTTCATTGTAAGAAATTGTCCAAATTGGGGTGAGAATGGTAATCAATTGAGGCTAGGTCTAGTGAGTACGGATGATAACATATGGTTTCTAACTGCAGGTCATTTAATGTAACAGCGTATTGCTTTATCACGAAGCAAGAATGGCGAAGATCGATTCTCAAGTCGATGTTGTTTCTCTGAGAGTTTTGCCTAGTTGTTCAAAGTTCAAAGAATTACACTATAAAGCGATCGCCAAACAGTTACCATTACTTTTCGATGTTTAAGCTTTGGTTTACGGCATTGTACCGGTATTTGACCTGGGCTTAGCCATTGTGTTTTTCCCTTGCGATTATCGTATAGAATTAACTTTTCAACACATTATACAATTCTGTCCATAGTCCCATTCTACACCTACTCATCCAAGAAAGGCGAGCTTCAACGCGTGCTCCTATGCCCATCAGTTAATTCATCATGAGGCCTAAATGTCCCGTTTTATTTTTTTTTAACAATTTGATGGAAATAAGTCAATATTGTGGATCAACTAACGTCAAACCACGATGCTAATTTCTTAGTTATTTTATAAGGATTGACACCCACCATAACTTTTAACTCATCGATGTTTACCTTATTTAATTAAACATGGTAAATTTTATTTAAATTTGGCAGTACTCTCTACTGCCAGTGCAAACATTAAAATTCAGAAAAATTATTAGGAGACTTACATGTAACGGAACAGCTAGATTAGTTTATTTTAGTTATTTCCAAAGCATAAGAGGATATATGGATACGACACATGGAATTTAGCAACAGGATAATGTAAGTGGCATTAAAACTATCTTTGTTTTCTGAAGCGAACCTTAAGAGAATTTGTCCGAAAGAGACTTTTTTTCTTTTTTTTTTATAGGATCGTGTGACAAACGAGCACACAGTCCACTTGATGGTAAGTGGATGCTGTGACTCATTGACTATCTATCAAAATGTAGAAGCGTTGTCTCCCTGAGGACTAACATGAAATACCTCTTTTCCATTAAAAAGTGTCCGGATCTCTACTACACCCCCATACGTGAAAAACAGCAGCATTAAGCTGCTATTTTACGATGTCATTCTGTGAAAACGTGGTTTTTACCCGGTCGACCTGGCCCATTCATGCTACATTTTTTGACGGCTCCGTGGAGCAGTGGCTTAGCAATGAGTTGTTGCGCTGGGGGCCGCAAGTATTTGTATGGCCTACAAAAAATTGTTCCGGGTCTGGATACAGGAGAAAATCCTAGTGCGGGGTTAACGTTTTTAAATAAAAATTATAATGTAGCTGCAGCGTGGCTCTACCACGCATAAAAATAGTTTTTTAAGTATGTATTTATATAAAGCCCATCTAATCTGTTTCTTAGGATTATTGTGTAAATTTTAGTATTCAGTAAATTGTGACATTAATTATTAATTAATTATATACTCGTTCAGCGTTCATGTTACCTTTACGCCTTTATTGAATAAAACTACTTTTACGGATTTTATCGCGTTTAATTAAGTTGTTTTATATTCCCGACGTTTCGGTTGCTTTCCAGCAACCGTGGTCATGGGGGACTGTGGTGGAAAGCAACCGAAACGTCGGGAATATAAAACAACTTAATTAAACGCGATAAAATCCGTAAAAGTAGTTTTATTCAATGTGTAGTGTTCGCGTAAATATAAGAAATCTTTACACCTTTATATTGAATTTTCAGTTTTTTGCATTTATACGTCAAAGGCAAAGGCCTGTTTTACACTAGAAAGGTTCATGATTTCTGAGAGAGTTATGAAGCAATAAGTCCGCCGCGTTGTACCAGTGCTTGTTGGCGGACTTCACATATCCTCCAAGTATTTTACTGATTAGAAAATTGTAAATTTTAAAATTAAACTTTAAAGTATTTTAGATTGTCAAGTCAACATAAGGAACAAATAGAGAAATAAAACACAATGTACATCAAAATGTGTTTAATGAACAATATATATCTGTAAATAGTTCACAATATGTTCGTGTTTTATTTAACAGGTAACGTACAAAATACTTCGCTTATGTTTAAATATAATGACAGTACACACCCACCAAAATTAGTGGTAATACAAAAATATGAACCAACCATTCTAGTAACGCATGCCCGTCTATTAAAAAGGCAAAAGTAACAACCAGTGGTATAGTCAATCACTGAATGAACGAAAGCAATTATACCTTTCAATTTAAATTCTATAGGTAACTGGAGAAAAAGCAAAATAAATAGACTGTTCCCTGCGATACAACAGTTTATAAATTATACCAATCTAGTAAAATTTGAGTTTACAAATAATACTAAACAAGCCTTGATAGCTGTAAGACATGATTTCTAGATATATAATTGGTAACATGCAAAATATGAAATTTAATACTTAATTAAACTAATAAAAAAAGATGTTGGCACGCGCCGCGCCGTTGCGAATCGTAAGTCTGAATTGTCCCTGATACAGATAAAATAAGCCAATGATAAATCCACAGCTAAACAGTCTATCCCAATGATTGCCGCAAAATACGGTCGTGGTCATCACACCATCTTCTTTATATAGCATTTGGATAACAAACAAGCACACAATCCACCTGATGGTAAGTGGTTGCTGTGTCCCATAGACATCTACATCTATCTTCGTTTGCAAATCAAAATGCAGATGCGTTGTCACCCGTGAGGACTAAGATGGAATGCCTCGTTTCCATTAAAAAGAGTATTCGGTTCCCTACACTCACCATACGAAACACAGCAGCGTTAAGCTGCTATTTTACGAAGATATTCTGTGAGAGCGTGGTCCTTCCCCAGTCGAGCCGACCCATTCGTGCTATAACTATACCAGTAATATAGCTGCAGCATGGCTCTATCACGTAATAAATTCATCTAGTGGGTGATCGCCCAACACTGCGCTTGCCAGTAGAGACAAAAGAGATTATAAGATTTAGTATCCTATTTTTGAAACGGCAGGTAAATAATATTATTCCTAAACTACAATCAATTTTTATAGGAAAAAAATACTGTACGTCATGATCGACAAAGAAGCCTATATATAAAATTAATTATTATACTGCTTATTCAACACAAACAATAATACAATATTTGTCGTGTCTTTCACAAAATGAAATTGTTAATTTCAACAAATCGTAAATAGAACATCAAAGCATGTGCAAGACGGCCCAAAGTCACATATTTATATGTAATTATTAGCCATACACGTTGATTATATATATGCGTATTTTGTAATAATTTAGTTTGATGATATTGAGAAATGGCGGGAAATTCTTGATTTGACGTTTTTTGATTTGTTTTTATAACAAAAATATAAATTAATAAATAAATTATCAATGTCTTTTATAATGAGCAATCCTTTTATCATTTTTATATTATTATAAACCTAAAAAACGTTTAGTTGAATTCTCCCTTCAATTGACAGATATATTGTGCAACGAAAATTACTCCAGATACTTTATAAAGATCCTGTAGAAAGAGACGAGGTCCTCATGGACCTCGTCTCTTCAATAATTATGTTTCAGCCGTTCGCTATTTCTCTTAATAGAACAAATATTACATCTAAAACGTTCTTTAATAATTACTTAGAAATTACGTTTTGAACTCCAAAATACACTCATTCCTCTCCACAACCAACAAAGACAATGAGCTACAATAGGAATTCCCACAAAGTAGTTACGTTACGTGATTTAAATTTATAGCCTCAGACTTTTTTTAAATAAGACGTTCTAGGAAACTTAGTTCTTCTAAATTTAGAAATGTCTACCTCCCTGCATAGTCAAATCGTGTTGACATTTACATGTAATGCGCGCAAGATGGGAATAGGATTGGGTTTGGGACGACAGTTTGATGACGGTTCATGACTAAATAAACAAAAATATCATTTTGTTTATTTTAAGGAATATACAACAGATTGCTATCACAACATAAAATTAATAACAATTCAAATAAATATAAAATATTTATAAATGTATTTTAATTTTTAATAATAATTTAGTTTCACTGTCACGTGAATCATATATGAACATTACGAATGTTTAACTATTGTGTATTTTTCGCGGACAAGGATGTTGTTAATTTTGTGCACATCTATACAATGTAATTGAAGTTAGTGCACAATGCGAAACAAAATTGAAATTTAATACCTAGTCCTCTTATTGTGCGCGCATTAAAAAAGATTGTTCACTAAAATGGTTTTTATTGAAAATCTTTACAATAAAATAATAATTTGAAGTTGCAATTAAAAGAAGAAAAATTCCTATGTATTCTATAGTATGGTAGCCAAAATAAAGTACTCTGTGGAAAGGATCACCCTGATGGAACACTCATTAAAAAAAATCAAAATCAGTTACATTAAAAAATACGCTATGCTTGTTCGAAGTCGATTAATAAATAAATAAATAATATGTTGAGTAAAGAATAAATAAATACCTCTGAATAGCAGTAGGTGGCGGCATAAAGGAACGGTATGTTCATTAGTATTTTTAATGATTAATATTTGTTTGCAGATAATAGAGTACAATAAATATTGCCATACCAAAAAAAAACATGCAATACTTTAAAGAGCTATTTTTAAATTTTTCAGGCAATTTTTTTTTTAAATTAAACAGAGCAGAAAGAAAATAATGTGCTAATAAATTACAAAAGTTCTACTAATGTAAATAAATAGATGAATACTTAATTAAAACTACGATACTTCACTAGACCAAAAAGGAATACAATAGAGTCTATTTGGTACATTACTTAGCAAATGCCTCGCAATATCACTAGCGTTAGGATTTGGAGAATTTGAATACACTCGGCGTGCTCTTCTTCTGTGGTTTGTTTTCAGCCACCTAAAAAGAAAGAAGTGAGTGAGTTTGTCTGTTGATGTGCTTACTAACGTCACATTAATTGAATTTTAAATCCACCGCTACCAGTGATGCAGCGAGTGGCATGCATTACTTGGGTGATTTGACCATCCCCCACTACGCTATGTTGGTGAGCGTAGAGTCCATACCATACTGATGATGCAACACCCTATCACCCATTGTTGAGACTGGTAGATTCAACGTGTATTTTTTTAACACCAATCGTTTGTTAGAGCTTTTGATGAGACTGACTTTTAATGGAAATGTTGGCATAACACACTGCAATGTTTTTGTTTATTGAAATAAATGGCGTAAATATTTGTAATTACGTAGAATGATAAAAAATAATTCTATGATATCGAGTATACAAGCACTAGTTTATTTCCAAGGCCATATGTGGGTCACAGGTGAAGAATTGTCCTGGAGGTGGTCGTAGCTTTTTTACGTGAATCCGCGAGACATTTATGGAGGAGAGGGCAGCGAGTAGAGAGGAGTGGTGGTTACCGTGCGCTCGCCCAGCAGCAGGCGCACCTTGTCCTCCTCGTGCGGCTCGGGCGCCGCGGCCGCGCGCCGCCCCAGCTGCAGCTTCTGCCGGATGGCCTGCGACAGGATCACCCTGCCAACACACACCGAACACTGAACACTCTAAAATACTCACAAAAAAAGTGAACAGTCATAAAATACTTAAAGTAGGTACATAAACATAATAGTAAAAGTAATAAAAAATATAATAATAAATAGTAATAGTAAACAGTGGTAAAGCCACTCGGCAGCTTTTGCTGTCGCACGGATGGGTCGGCTCGAACCGGGGTGGTACCACGACCTCACAGAAAACAACGTGAAGTAGAGGTTTACCTCTGCGTTTCGCTTGGTGAGTGCAGGTGGCCGGAGGCCCTTTTTGTTGAAAATGAGGCATTCCATCTTAGTCCTCACGGGTGACAACGCATCTACATTTTGATTTGTAACAGAGGATAGATGTAGATATCTATGGGCCCCAGCAACCACTTACCATCAGGTGGACTGTGTGCTCGTTTGTCACCCTTATCCTATAAAAAAAAGGAATCTTGAAAAAATACTCCCTACTATTCCGCTTGACACGTACGTATAATATAAAATAAACTGATAACACAGTTCTCAACATTTTTAACTCTCTTATAGTACGATAGAACAGAAATCCGAAACGACCAGGACGGTCAAATGCAGGACCAACAGTTTAACATGCTTTCTGAGACACGGGAGTGAAAAACCACCAACCTACTGAGAATTTTTCGACTATAACTGATTATTGGGTCCAACCCACAATATGAACCCAGGGCCTAATGATCAGAAGTCGCGTTTACGACCACGGGACCAACGAGACAGTCAAATATACGTTTATACAAACTAGCAGAGGAAGAGCTTAGTCCTCTGAGATATATGGGACATAACCCAGAGAACTAAGCTCCAGTCATATCCTGTGACGATGAGCAATTGGTGGGTCGTACTGCTCCAGTGCATATTGGCGCTCTTCAACATGTCCTCAAAGGTTCACCTTTGACGCTGTTATAAACTTAGTATTGTTATGTCACTACGGCGTGTTGTTGTTACTTGTAATGAAGGTGCGCATGCCTTTAATTAAGTATCCTTTTAATGACTTTCAATAAGTTCTTCTTGTAATCTATATTGAATCAAAATTATTCTATTCTATTCGTGCTCATTGTTTTAGTGTCCGTAAACGTAAGTCTAAAAGTCATAAATCATTATCGAGTACCGTCAGAACTACAAATAAACGGAGAAAAGTTGTTTGCGGTGATTCTATTGTTAAGCAGCTCGCCTCCGCCCTCTTGAGACAAAACATCTATCATGGTCATCATAGTCATCATTACAGCCCTTCACAAGTCCACTGCTAAACATAGGCCTCCCCCAAGGAATTCCACAAAGCACGGTCCTAAGCCACCTGCATCCATCGACTTTCGGCATTTCTTACCAGGCCGTCACTCCACAACATAATATTATAAAATAAGATAATTAAACACAATAAAATTTGTAAAGTTACTTTTATATCCCCATGGTAAAAGCAGAAAAGAAAGATCTACGTCCTTCTGTCTGGAAAAGACACAAGCCCTTCTTGTATTTCGAAAACGTATATGGAGCAAGGAGAGACACGTTTCTTTTGCTCTATGACATTGTTTGCAAACATCGAATTTTTTTGAATTATTTTAAAATCCAGAGGTATAAAGGTTTCCTTATTAGCACTTAAAATTGAGATTATGAAATTTAGTGCTACTGTGAAAGATAAACTGGAGTGCCTCATGTATTACGATGATAAAGCGGGCGCCCCGTTCCTGAAGAATACATTTTTTTATTTTTTTTACTTGTTATAAGCCAGTGCTTGACCACAATGCCACCTGGTGGTAAGTGGTGATGCAGCCTTTACATGGTAAATCGCACTGTCTTAGCGTAACAAAAGCCTGTCCAATCCACTCTTGCCTTGAAGACGCCCTGATTGTATTCGGACTGAAAGATAAACGCTGGCAAATTATTCCACTCCTTTGCTGTACGCATTACAAAAGACGAAGCAAACCGTTTGGTTCTAATGCGTGGAATATCGACAACAAAGGGGTGAAGACCCGCCGACCGCTGAGTCGTCCGATGATGGAAAGGAGAGGGAGGAATTAAAGCGTGTAATTCCTGCGCACACTCACCGAAATGCATCCTATAGAATACCGAGAGACTGGCTACTCTGCGCCTGTGCTCAAGGCTGACAAGGTTATTATAATAAATGTTGTGAAGTTACCGCCTGGTGTCGTTCTTGGTGGCGAGCAGCAGGTCGAGCCAGGTCCAGGTGACGTTGTGGTACTCCAGCGTGGGCAGCACCAGCGGCAGGTCACGCACGTCCTCCAGGTTCTTCTCTTTGCTGCCCTTGTACGACACGCGCACCGGCACCTCCGGGATCTTGATGTAGATGAACAGCTTGTTCTTCTCCGCGCGCTCCTAATTGTGCAACATGATTAGCAGAGAAGATTATAGCTACCTTTAAAGGTAACACCGAAAAATATATAAGGATATATACATTATAAGGTAATGACCGTACATAGAGCTGGTAAAATGCTGAAACCAGCTTCATATAAAAATATGTTTATCAATTTTTATATTAATAACTTTATATATATCTTTATCGATGTTTTTCAAACCAAACTCAATACGTTCAGAACTCCTCACTGGTAAGCTCCTCAACACCGGTATACCCAATTTGGAGTCAGAATTTATAAATAGACATATCATTTGTCAATCGCCAGTTAACGTATCTTAATTGTATGTAACTTGTATTGTATAGAAAATAAAACATTTGTTTCAGAAGACGAATAAAAAGAGAAAACAAAAATTTTATAAATATTGCAATCACTGAAAATATATCATCTAACCAGTAATAATTGATTTTATTAAATATTATCTTTGAGTATTTATAAACTGAATAATTAAAAAGTAAAAATTTTGTACTTTAATATAAGTTATTACGAATAACTCAAAAAGTATTGGTCTGACCTTGATCAAATTCATATGGGACTACACGAGAATTACCAGCTTTCAAATAATAAAAGAATCATCGAAATCGGTTCACCCAGTAAAAAGTTATGAGGTAACACAAATAAAAAAAAACATACAGTCGAATTGAGCACCGTCCCCTTTTTGGAAGTCGGCAGAAAATATAAATAGTAGTAAACACAAAAAAGGATAATGTTCGTTATCATTCTCATACTTTCATCTTCTCGACGTCATCTTTATCTTTGTTGTCGCGCTTGACATAGAAGTTGGAATTGGAGTCGCGCTTCTTGCTCCTCTTTTTAGTGGCGGCGGGTAGCGTGGCGCGTTCGCCCTCCTCCTCGCCCTCCTCCATCGCCTCGGGATCACGCTCGGGGAAGCAGAACTTCAGCATTGTGTTGAAGAACTTCTTCGTTAGTCCTGATAATTATTTACATTGATATTGAGAATTATTTCATTAATTTAGTAGATATAATCATAATATAGTTATATTTATATAATGATAATAATGTCTTTCAGACCGAATTTTGGTTACTGCGGTCAATCTCAACGGAGTCTAACCATCTGCGCAGGACAGGAATATAGTGCCCAAATGTATGCGCATTATAATCCTGTCAAACATAGGTCTTTATTCCCTCACTGTCATATTTTGATGGTACGGTAATCTGACTAATCGGAGAGAGATCAGGCGCAGGCACAGGGGTGAAACACCGTCTACTTCCTGACTCCGCACTGCTACTAAGATATATATATTTTTTCAGAATAACCCAGTAACTGATTTTGTTTGTACCTGGGATTTGAACCCAGTGTATAATGATTAGCAAATTCGTTTACAACCACTAGACCAACGAAGCTTATTTATACTAGATCAATTGTACAAAGTCAACATATTATGCTTTGGAGTAGCGCATCGAATGAGGATTAAATTGTTACATTATCACTTAAAAGGTTAAAAAGATAAGTTAAAATCAAATAATGTACATTTAGCATTGCAAAACAAATCGTATAATATCCGGCTCATGAAGGACCAACAATAATTTTTATTAGAGCGCAACCCGCTTGATATCCGGCTCGTATACGAGCAGTACGATGAGTTGGTGGGCACGTACCGATGCGTATGGGCACGATGTTGACCTCGAAGTGCTCCTTGACGGAGATGCCGCCGACGGGCGGCCGGTCGCGGCAGAACACGCGCAGCGCCGCGCGCCGCGCCCCGGCAATAGGATGAGTTGGCGGGCACGTACCGATGCGTATGGGCACGATGTTGACCTCGAAGTGCTCCTTGACGGAGATGCCGCCGACGGGCGGCCGGTCGCGGCAGAACACGCGCAGCGCCGCGCGCCGCGCCCCGGCAATAGGATGAGTTGGCGGGCACGTACCGATGCGTATGGGCACGATGTTGACCTCGAAGTGCTCCTTGACGGAGATGCCGCCGACGGGCGGCCGGTCGCGGCAGAACACGCGCAGCGCCGCGCGCCGCGCCCCGGCAATAGGATGAGTTGGCGGGCACGTACCGATGCGTATGGGCACGATGTTGACCTCGAAGTGCTCCTTGACGGAGATGCCGCCGACGGGCGGCCGGTCGCGGCAGAACACGCGCAGCGCCGCGCGCCGCGCCCCGGCAATAGGATGAGTTGGCGGGCACGTACCGATGCGTATGGGCACGATGTTGACCTCGAAGTGCTCCTTGACGGAGATGCCGCCGACGGGCGGCCGGTCGCGGCAGAACACGCGCAGCGCCGCGCGCCGCGCCCCGGCAATAGGATGAGTTGGCGGGCACGTACCGATGCGTATGGGCACGATGTTGACCTCGAAGTGCTCCTTGACGGAGATGCCGCCGACGGGCGGCCGGTCGCGGCAGAACACGCGCAGCGCCGCGCGCCGCGCCAGCGGGGCGCGCCCCGACGCCGCCTGCGGCACCAGCACCTGCGCACGTTCTTTCATTTCATTTCACGCTCATATACTTCTTTCAAACTAACATCTTCGTTATCGTCGACAACGATCTCGCTGTAGAAAACCTGTAAATGCGCTGGCAGACGGACAAGTAATAACATTTCTTTGCTTTTTTAACTTTTGACTTTGCCTTCCATAACTGATCTTGATATAATGGCTTCTTTTATATACAGAGATAATACTAATACTGTAAATAAAACTAATTTTTCCGAATTTTATCAAGTATATTTTAACTTGTTTTAATATCTCCACCTTTCAAAAGCTCTAGCTTTACCACATCAATGATCATGTGGACGACTGAATTATTTGACGTCATATTTAACCCAAGTTACCTTCAGGTTTTAGTTTTAGTCTATTTTACACATAATGAGCTAACTGTATCTCAATACTCCCAGCTACCTGCTTTATTCATAGGATAGTGCACGCAATTGAGGGAGGGCGGGAGGTGCTTCTTCATACTAGGTAAGACACATCATTTTATTTTATAACGCGGATATTTGCGAAGTAAATTTTTGTAAAAGCTTTTAAGGAATAATGAGGCAATTATACTTACCAGTTTATCTAAAAATAACGACGAAATAAAAATTAAAATGTATTATTCTATTTACAACGAGTGCCCAAACGTAACTATTCTTACCTCGGGGAAAGGCTCATTCGGTAACAAGTTGGTGACTCGTACGTATCCAACTTCCAACTGGTGCTCAACGGAGTCATCGGATCTGGAAGTCTTTGTATACCTGCATGAAAATATAGTACATTAAATTCACTTTCTTACTTTTATTAACGAGTTTAGTATTTTTTTAAACTTCATATACACACGTTGTGTACACAGATTTAATGCCTGAGACATTCTATAACAATAAGTGGTAATTTTTTGTTTTAGAAACCTCATAGTTGTTAAGAGTGCCAAATAAACATCTTACTCACAAAAGAACAAAAGGTATATTTGGCAATATTCCTTTTACAGGTGAGCGACTCGAGTACCACAGATGGAACCCTTAAATCAAGTAATAGTAGTGTGACCCGAACGTCGACAAAGGGGCTGTGATGAAGACGATAATTCGCATTGAAGCAAATCTCGATGCACCACCCACCGCACCTGTAAAAGGCAAGTGTCACCTGTGTAAGGTCACGGTGCGGAGTTGCGGCGGTGCAGCGGACACTCACAGGAAATTGGTGAGCAGCAGGTCGGCGATGCCCAGCTGGCCGTCCGCGTCGGTGAGGCGCCAGCGCGCGGACTTGAAGCAGATCTCGTTGTAGCGGTGCGGCGCTGCGGCGGATACTCACAGGAAGTTGGTGAGCAGCAGGTCGGCGATGCCCAGCTGGCCGTCCGCGTCGGTGAGGCGCCAGCGCGCGGACTTGAAGCAGATCTCGTTGTAGCGGTGCGGCGCTGCGGCGGATACTCACAGGAAGTTGGTGAGCAGCAGGTCGGCGATGCCCAGCTGGCCGTCCGCGTCGGTGAGGCGCCAGCGCGCGGACTTGAAGCAGATCTCGTTGTAGCGGTGCGGCGCTGCGGCGGATACTCACAGGAAGTTGGTGAGCAGCAGGTCGGCGATGCCCAGCTGGCCGTCCGCGTCGGTGAGGCGCCAGCGCGCGGACTTGAAGCAGATCTCGTTGTAGCGGTGCGGCGCTGCGGCGGATACTCACAGGAAGTTGGTGAGCAGCAGGTCGGCGATGCCCAGCTGGCCGTCCGCGTCGGTGAGGCGCCAGCGCGCGGACTTGAAGCAGATCTCGTTGTAGCGGTGCGGCGCTGCGGCGGATACTCACAGGAAGTTGGTGAGCAGCAGGTCGGCGATGCCCAGCTGGCCGTCCGCGTCGGTGAGGCGCCAGCGCGCGGACTTGAAGCAGATCTCGTTGTAGCGGTGCGGCGCTGCGGCGGATACTCACAGGAAGTTGGTGAGCAGCAGGTCGGCGATGCCCAGCTGGCCGTCCGCGTCGGTGAGGCGCCAGCGCGCGGACTTGAAGCAGATCTCGTTGTAGCGGTGCGGCGCTGCGGCGGATACTCACAGGAAGTTGGTGAGCAGCAGGTCGGCGATGCCCAGCTGGCCGTCCGCGTCGGTGAGGCGCCAGCGCGCGGACTTGAAGCAGATCTCGTTGTAGCGGTGCGGCGCTGCGGCGGATACTCACAGGAAGTTGGTGAGCAGCAGGTCGGCGATGCCCAGCTGGCCGTCCGCGTCGGTGAGGCGCCAGCGCGCGGACTTGAAGCAGATCTCGTTGTAGCGGTGCGGCGCTGCGGCGGATACTCACAGGAAGTTGGTGAGCAGCAGGTCGGCGATGCCCAGCTGGCCGTCCGCGTCGGTGAGGCGCCAGCGCGCGGACTTGAAGCAGATCTCGTTGTAGCGGTGCGGCGCTGCGGCGGATACTCACAGGAAGTTGGTGAGCAGCAGGTCGGCGATGCCCAGCTGGCCGTCCGCGTCGGTGAGGCGCCAGCGCGCGGACTTGAAGCAGATCTCGTTGTAGCGGTGCGGCGCTGCGGCGGATACTCACAGGAAGTTGGTGAGCAGCAGGTCGGCGATGCCCAGCTGGCCGTCCGCGTCGGTGAGGCGCCAGCGCGCGGACTTGAAGCAGATCTCGTTGTAGCGGTGCGGCGCTGCGGCGGATACTCACAGGAAGTTGGTGAGCAGCAGGTCGGCGATGCCCAGCTGGCCGTCCGCGTCGGTGAGGCGCCAGCGCGCGGACTTGAAGCAGATCTCGTTGTAGCGGTGCGGCGCTGCGGCGGATACTCACAGGAAGTTGGTGAGCAGCAGGTCGGCGATGCCCAGCTGGCCGTCCGCGTCGGTGAGGCGCCAGCGCGCGGACTTGAAGCAGATCTCGTTGTAGCGGTGCGGCGCTGCGGCGGATACTCACAGGAAGTTGGTGAGCAGCAGGTCGGCGATGCCCAGCTGGCCGTCCGCGTCGGTGAGGCGCCAGCGCGCGGACTTGAAGCAGATCTCGTTGTAGCGGTGCGGCGCTGCGGCGGATACTCACAGGAAGTTGGTGAGCAGCAGGTCGGCGATGCCCAGCTGGCCGTCCGCGTCGGTGAGGCGCCAGCGCGCGGACTTGAAGCAGATCTCGTTGTAGCGGTGCGGCGCTGCGGCGGATACTCACAGGAAGTTGGTGAGCAGCAGGTCGGCGATGCCCAGCTGGCCGTCCGCGTCGGTGAGGCGCCAGCGCGCGGACTTGAAGCAGATCTCGTTGTAGCGGTGCGGCGCTGCGGCGGATACTCACAGGAAGTTGGTGAGCAGCAGGTCGGCGATGCCCAGCTGGCCGTCCGCGTCGGTGAGGCGCCAGCGCGCGGACTTGAAGCAGATCTCGTTGTAGCGGTGCGGCGCTGCGGCGGATACTCACAGGAAGTTGGTGAGCAGCAGGTCGGCGATGCCCAGCTGGCCGTCCGCGTCGGTGAGGCGCCAGCGCGCGGACTTGAAGCAGATCTCGTTGTAGCGGTGCGGCGCTGCGGCGGATACTCACAGGAAGTTGGTGAGCAGCAGGTCGGCGATGCCCAGCTGGCCGTCCGCGTCGGTGAGGCGCCAGCGCGCGGACTTGAAGCAGATCTCGTTGTAGCGGTGCGGCGCTGCGGCGGATACTCACAGGAAGTTGGTGAGCAGCAGGTCGGCGATGCCCAGCTGGCCGTCCGCGTCGGTGAGGCGCCAGCGCGCGGACTTGAAGCAGATCTCGTTGTAGCGGTGCGGCGCTGCGGCGGATACTCACAGGAAGTTGGTGAGCAGCAGGTCGGCGATGCCCAGCTGGCCGTCCGCGTCGGTGAGGCGCCAGCGCGCGGACTTGAAGCAGATCTCGTTGTAGCGGTGCGGCGCTGCGGCGGATACTCACAGGAAGTTGGTGAGCAGCAGGTCGGCGATGCCCAGCTGGCCGTCCGCGTCGGTGAGGCGCCAGCGCGCGGACTTGAAGCAGATCTCGTTGTAGCGGTGCGGCGCTGCGGCGGATACTCACAGGAAGTTGGTGAGCAGCAGGTCGGCGATGCCCAGCTGGCCGTCCGCGTCGGTGAGGCGCCAGCGCGCGGACTTGAAGCAGATCTCGTTGTAGCGGTGCGGCGCTGCGGCGGATACTCACAGGAAGTTGGTGAGCAGCAGGTCGGCGATGCCCAGCTGGCCGTCCGCGTCGGTGAGGCGCCAGCGCGCGGACTTGAAGCAGATCTCGTTGTAGCGGTGCGGCGCTGCGGCGGATACTCACAGGAAGTTGGTGAGCAGCAGGTCGGCGATGCCCAGCTGGCCGTCCGCGTCGGTGAGGCGCCAGCGCGCGGACTTGAAGCAGATCTCGTTGTAGCGGTGCGGCGCTGCGGCGGATACTCACAGGAAGTTGGTGAGCAGCAGGTCGGCGATGCCCAGCTGGCCGTCCGCGTCGGTGAGGCGCCAGCGCGCGGACTTGAAGCAGATCTCGTTGTAGCGGTGCGGCGCTGCGGCGGATACTCACAGGAAGTTGGTGAGCAGCAGGTCGGCGATGCCCAGCTGGCCGTCCGCGTCGGTGAGGCGCCAGCGCGCGGACTTGAAGCAGATCTCGTTGTAGCGGTGCGGCGCTGCGGCGGATACTCACAGGAAGTTGGTGAGCAGCAGGTCGGCGATGCCCAGCTGGCCGTCCGCGTCGGTGAGGCGCCAGCGCGCGGACTTGAAGCAGATCTCGTTGTAGCGGTGCGGCGCTGCGGCGGATACTCACAGGAAGTTGGTGAGCAGCAGGTCGGCGATGCCCAGCTGGCCGTCCGCGTCGGTGAGGCGCCAGCGCGCGGACTTGAAGCAGATCTCGTTGTAGCGGTGCGGCGCTGCGGCGGATACTCACAGGAAGTTGGTGAGCAGCAGGTCGGCGATGCCCAGCTGGCCGTCCGCGTCGGTGAGGCGCCAGCGCGCGGACTTGAAGCAGATCTCGTTGTAGCGGTGCGGCGCTGCGGCGGATACTCACAGGAAGTTGGTGAGCAGCAGGTCGGCGATGCCCAGCTGGCCGTCCGCGTCGGTGAGGCGCCAGCGCGCGGACTTGAAGCAGATCTCGTTGTAGCGGTGCGGCGCTGCGGCGGATACTCACAGGAAGTTGGTGAGCAGCAGGTCGGCGATGCCCAGCTGGCCGTCCGCGTCGGTGAGGCGCCAGCGCGCGGACTTGAAGCAGATCTCGTTGTAGCGGTGCGGCGCTGCGGCGGATACTCACAGGAAGTTGGTGAGCAGCAGGTCGGCGATGCCCAGCTGGCCGTCCGCGTCGGTGAGGCGCCAGCGCGCGGACTTGAAGCAGATCTCGTTGTAGCGGTGCGGCGCTGCGGCGGATACTCACAGGAAGTTGGTGAGCAGCAGGTCGGCGATGCCCAGCTGGCCGTCCGCGTCGGTGAGGCGCCAGCGCGCGGACTTGAAGCAGATCTCGTTGTAGCGGTGCGGCGCTGCGGCGGATACTCACAGGAAGTTGGTGAGCAGCAGGTCGGCGATGCCCAGCTGGCCGTCCGCGTCGGTGAGGCGCCAGCGCGCGGACTTGAAGCAGATCTCGTTGTAGCGGTGCGGCGCTGCGGCGGATACTCACAGGAAGTTGGTGAGCAGCAGGTCGGCGATGCCCAGCTGGCCGTCCGCGTCGGTGAGGCGCCAGCGCGCGGACTTGAAGCAGATCTCGTTGTAGCGGTGCGGCGCTGCGGCGGATACTCACAGGAAGTTGGTGAGCAGCAGGTCGGCGATGCCCAGCTGGCCGTCCGCGTCGGTGAGGCGCCAGCGCGCGGACTTGAAGCAGATCTCGTTGTAGCGGTGCGGCGCTGCGGCGGATACTCACAGGAAGTTGGTGAGCAGCAGGTCGGCGATGCCCAGCTGGCCGTCCGCGTCGGTGAGGCGCCAGCGCGCGGACTTGAAGCAGATCTCGTTGTAGCGGTGCGGCGCTGCGGCGGATACTCACAGGAAGTTGGTGAGCAGCAGGTCGGCGATGCCCAGCTGGCCGTCCGCGTCGGTGAGGCGCCAGCGCGCGGACTTGAAGCAGATCTCGTTGTAGCGGTGCGGCGCTGCGGCGGATACTCACAGGAAGTTGGTGAGCAGCAGGTCGGCGATGCCCAGCTGGCCGTCCGCGTCGGTGAGGCGCCAGCGCGCGGACTTGAAGCAGATCTCGTTGTAGCGGTGCGGCGCTGCGGCGGATACTCACAGGAAGTTGGTGAGCAGCAGGTCGGCGATGCCCAGCTGGCCGTCCGCGTCGGTGAGGCGCCAGCGCGCGGACTTGAAGCAGATCTCGTTGTAGCGGTGCGGCGCTGCGGCGGATACTCACAGGAAGTTGGTGAGCAGCAGGTCGGCGATGCCCAGCTGGCCGTCCGCGTCGGTGAGGCGCCAGCGCGCGGACTTGAAGCAGATCTCGTTGTAGCGGTGCGGCGCTGCGGCGGATACTCACAGGAAGTTGGTGAGCAGCAGGTCGGCGATGCCCAGCTGGCCGTCCGCGTCGGTGAGGCGCCAGCGCGCGGACTTGAAGCAGATCTCGTTGTAGCGGTGCGGCGCTGCGGCGGATACTCACAGGAAGTTGGTGAGCAGCAGGTCGGCGATGCCCAGCTGGCCGTCCGCGTCGGTGAGGCGCCAGCGCGCGGACTTGAAGCAGATCTCGTTGTAGCGGTGCGGCGCTGCGGCGGATACTCACAGGAAGTTGGTGAGCAGCAGGTCGGCGATGCCCAGCTGGCCGTCCGCGTCGGTGAGGCGCCAGCGCGCGGACTTGAAGCAGATCTCGTTGTAGCGGTGCGGCGCTGCGGCGGATACTCACAGGAAGTTGGTGAGCAGCAGGTCGGCGATGCCCAGCTGGCCGTCCGCGTCGGTGAGGCGCCAGCGCGCGGACTTGAAGCAGATCTCGTTGTAGCGGTGCGGCGCTGCGGCGGATACTCACAGGAAGTTGGTGAGCAGCAGGTCGGCGATGCCCAGCTGGCCGTCCGCGTCGGTGAGGCGCCAGCGCGCGGACTTGAAGCAGATCTCGTTGTAGCGGTGCGGCGCTGCGGCGGATACTCACAGGAAGTTGGTGAGCAGCAGGTCGGCGATGCCCAGCTGGCCGTCCGCGTCGGTGAGGCGCCAGCGCGCGGACTTGAAGCAGATCTCGTTGTAGCGGTGCGGCGCTGCGGCGGATACTCACAGGAAGTTGGTGAGCAGCAGGTCGGCGATGCCCAGCTGGCCGTCCGCGTCGGTGAGGCGCCAGCGCGCGGACTTGAAGCAGATCTCGTTGTAGCGGTGCGGCGGCGCGTGCGGCGTGCGCACGGCGGGCGCGGACGAGCGCGCCTCGCGCCACGCCCGCACCATCGCGTCCAGCTCCTCGCCCAGCGACCACGCCGCCTCCTTACACTCGTTCACCTGCACCAGATATTTGCCCCGTTCAATTGAACCCGTTATGTAGCAACGCATCTCATTCGCGACCATTTCGCCCACATTAAATCAAACTCTTCTGATATAAGCGTCCATCACCCATAAATAACTGCAACACCAGGGAAATTTCATGTGGGTTGCCAACCTTTTAAAAAAGTGTAAGCTCGTTTCTTGAAGGTCTCCGAGTCGTATTGGTCCTGAAAAATCGGCGATGATAAATGATTCCACAAAGAAGTCACGCGAGGAAGAAAACTCTTAGTAAACCGCACAGTCATTGTGTCTACCGCCAAGCATCCAGATGGTATCCAGATGGATGGTACCGTGAGTTTTGTCCGGATGTTCGTTGGTGGAATTTGGCGGCAGTAATTTATCCAAACAATTCATCTAAATATCCCCCGTGGTAAATGCAATAGAAAATGTAAAGGGATACAACATCTCTACGCAGCGTCAGTGAATCGAGCCGATGAAAAAGAACTCGGTTGACGACGTTTCGATCCGCTCTTCGCTGGATGCGGTCAAATGGAAGGAGCTGACACTGGGGTGCTCCGGTCCAGAAATGAGAACTCCATGTGAGGGCGAACCTGCCCCCTGTAATGTTGTTAGCGGTGTGTCGGCATAAAATACAGCCTCGATCTGCTGAGCACGCCAAGCTTTTTAGAGGCCAATTTAACCTTGCCTTCCAAGTGAACGCGGAACTGTACGTCATTTGATAAGTCGATACCGAAGATTCCGTTTCTGGCAGAACCGGCATGGGCAGTGCCCTAAAATTGATGAGAATAGGGGTGCATTCAACAAAGGCGTTCTTTTTAGCGGTAAACGCGCAAACCTGTGTCTTCTGAAGTGTAAACTGGTCTAGATTTAACGTCCCCAATCCGAGACTTTGTTTATTAAAGACTCTACTTCAGGGTTGTTCCGGTACTCGATAACACACAGCATGCTAATAATTCTTGGAAACACTCAAGAAATATTAGCATGGCCGGTGTAAAAAGCATCACCAGTGCAACATATCACATTGATATGCAGAAGAAACAGTGTAGGTGACAGCATGCCGCCTTGTAGAATACTAGCATTAATTGGCTTGTAGTCTACTGCGAGCTTGATGCTCCGATCTGCAAGAAAACTGATGAATGCACAATTTCTCGGGAAGCCCATAGGAAAAAAGCTTCGTAAGAAGGGCTTTGTGGCAAAGCCCATCGAAGGCCTTCGCTATTTCCAAAGTAACGACAGACGCCTCCCTTTTGGAAATTAGAAAATCACCAGCTGAGCGACCGCGATGGAAACCGCATTGGCAGTCACTAATCAGCTGGTGGTCTTCTAGGTACCTTATGAGCTGGCAATTTATAATGGATTCCATTATGTTTGAGAACGGGGAGGCGATGGTGATAAACCTGTGGTTGGACCGGTCTGAGCGGTCACCTTTTTAGGGATCGGGTACACTAAAGCTGTCTTCCATGAGTTCAGGGAATAGAAGTACCTGAAAATACGCATTAGAACCGGTGCTAACTCCGGAGCACACGTCGTTAGCACAATAGGGGCCTTCTTCCATTAGGCCTTCTCGATTTATTGTCGTCCAAGAGGAGGAATGCTTTGCACACTAAGCACTGTGTAAACTGCATATCCAGCATGGACCAATCACACCGCGCGATGGTCAGCGGTGTGTACACCCCCGACATCGAGTTGAAAAAGTTAAAAGTTACAGCCTATATTGGTCCCACTGCTGGGCACAAGCCTCCTCTCATTTCTAAGGGGGTTTTACGGTCAGCAAATTTCCGCCGCGTTAATGCGCTTATGCGTCGTATTGGCGAGATCGAGAGTAACGCAAAAGGAGAACCTTTTTAGGTTTTCTTATTGTGTCCAATCTTTTGATCGACTTTCTCTTTTGTGGCATAGGCCAGTGAGTCGTCCTCCATGTGCAGAGATGGAAGAGATGACTGACAGAAATTCCCTTGGACAGCCTTAGCAAAACATCATAATTACATTAGAGGTAGAGAAGGGAGCTTAAGAAATTTAAAATTTTTGTATCACAGTCAGTCAGTTAACTAAAGACGAAAGGTACCAATTAGTTTAAAGTCTTATTTTTACAATCTATTTGTTTTGTACCAAAAATAAAGAAAGGGTAAACAGTAAAATGCTTGCGGCACTTACTCTATTATTCATTGAGAATATTTTATTCTGTACATAAGTGATTCTTGCAAAGGCAAGCTCAGCGCCCCCTCGAAACTTGCACCCTAGGCTCCAGTCTAATTAACCTGTGGAAAAATCAGGTCCTGGGCACGAGTCGTGAACACGAATCGCCGGTAGTGAAATAAGACGTTTTTATTTTACGACGTAACAAATTAAATTTTGATAATGACTTTTAATATTTACACGAATACTTGAAATCGAATAAAACTACTTTTACGGACTGTAACGCGATTAATTTAAATTATTTATTTTTACATAGGACAAACAGAAAGATCTATTAAACCCGCGTTAATGAACATAGTTGACGTGAAGCTTCGACGGTCTGTGGTCTGTGAACAATGTGTTTGTATGTTTTTCAATCGTCGGTTGTCGTAGATTTGATAGATCATAAATCCTCGCAATAGAATACCGATTCCTACCAAGGATGATTAGTGAGACTGTTGAAATTAAAAAAAAAAAACATCCTAATTTCAATAGAGAAGATGGATGGGTGCTAAAGATGAAGAGGAATGGGAAGAAGATGGATGGGTGGAAGCGGTAAGTAACAATTACTATAATTTGTGAGTATCACCGAATAGTTCTGTACTTAACTACTATCTGTAATTTATGAAGACCGGTGTTAGGAGTAGCCTCGTCGTTAGAGTACCTTGAATAAAACATTCCGAGACCTAGGTCCGAAGTACAGGCAAAGCTGACATTAGTGAAAAACACAATTTTTAGGTTTACATATCAGCCGTTACAGCCTATTAAAGTCCACTGCTGAACATAGGCCTTCTCCATAGATTGCTTGATTACTCATAGGGGACATATTTGCCATAGTTTCCACGCTTGCGAGGCGTGTGGTCAACCACAGTTTTTATTTTTATTTTTAGTTGTTATTAGGACGACGCTGTTACTCATCTCCTGATTTGTTTCTCACTGTCGCCTCTTAGGAACCCACGGAATGATATAAGGTAGTGCTGGATATTCTTACACCGCCTCTACGCGGTAATTTCATGTCAGATTATGTTTAGATTGTCTCAGGCTCCCTGATGCTGTATTCTAACCTACCTTCGATCTTATCGCATTAATTTTATATCGGATACAGTTAGACGAGAGTGTTCCATTGAATGCACTATAATATTTTCTAAGTAGTTGTCGATTTTGGCCAGGGGGACATCATCTCTTTAATAATCGACTTTAATACCCCATCCCCAAATAAACACATATAACTGTATAGCAAGATATATTTACAACAAAAGGGAATGAAAAATTAACCATAGTTTAATTTCAACTTTATCTTATCATATTTAATCCTAGGATCTGATAGGTTTTGATAGTTTTAAAAGTTGTCGAAACAGATTCAGCAACACAATATTCAAATCCTCAAGTGGTTGCTATTAGTTTTCGTCAGGCGTCAACGTTACTTCGGACAATGAAAGTACATTTTTCCATACATAAAAGAAAGAAAACGGGCATTTTTTTTTTTCATAATTTATAATTTTCTTTATAATTTAAAATTTTAAAGGTAGACTACCTTAAAGATTGACGATAAGTTTTAAAATATTTTAATAATGATATTCAATTAAAATTATTCATCAATCAATATACACTAAAAATAATAATATTAAAAAACAAATTTTAAGTTTATTTATTAATACTTTTTGTACAGTTATTCTATTAAACCCACTGTTTAGATAATTTCAGAATTTATTGGCCTAAATAAAGATAACGACCATTTTATGGTTTTACTGGCACAACGCCATCTAGCGAAACCAATATAAACTATTATGAGAATCACAGTATCAATCGATAACAAAATGCCATTTCCAAACTACAAGAGGAACTGATACGACACTTAGTACTATTATCATTGTAGTATTATTTATATATTTTTATTTTAATACTTTATTTTAAAATTATATCACTTATTTAGGTAATGACTACTTTACTACTACAGGTTAAATCAAATTCTGTTCCAATGTAAAAAAGGTGCATATTGTGTAAAATTCAAAAAGTCCAAATTAAAAAAAACAACCTTTTTTAATATGAAACGCAACTCAATAAAAGAACAAATTAAGCTATGAGATTATGACTTACCTGATCATCGAGACTTTTGAGTTCTGCTATAGCTACTGGATCGTTGCCCGTAATCGATCTGTTTTTCAGGTAATATTCCTTCTCCAGCCGCCGTAATCGCGCAAGGGATTCCCGCACCTTATCATACGAAAACTAACTGTCATAACATTATTTCAACAATTCAATATCGTAATAAATTCACAAGATTTAACTAATGGTATGTATTTTAAGCACTAATATTTTACCTAAGAAATAAAAATAAAAACCTAAAATATAAAATAAACATAATTCACGATGACGTATTCCCAAAATACTATTATTAATTTTAAGTGCAGTAGTCATATCTTCGGTAGTATAGTGGTCAGTATCCCCGCCTGTCACGCGGGAGACCGGGGTTCGATTCCCCGCCGGAGAGATTTATTTTTGGTCTTTCTTTTTTTTTAAATATTTTACTCACCTACTATCTAACTATCCTAACAATTAATATTTAATGTAGTAAAAAAAAAAACATATTTGTGTATATATAATTGCTATAAAATAAGTATGTATGTATAAGTAAGTATAATGTAGAAATACTATCTACTTATTAAAAAAAAATATTTTAAACAAAATTTAATGGTCTTGTGTATTAGCAATTTATTATAAATATTACTTTTACAAGAAAATAGCTATCAAACATAAAAATATAATACTACTCAGAAATAAATACATAAAAAAGAACTCTCCGGCGGGGAATCGAACCCCGGTCTCCCGCGTGACAGGCGGGGATACTGACCACTATACTACCGAAGATGTGATTGTTAAACTTAAAATTGAGAATAGTATTTTGGGTAACTTAGAACAACTCATTTTAGTAATTACGTCATTTCTACATTTTTTGTAGGTTTATAATATTACAACAAAATTAAACAACAAATACTTACTAACTAAACTACTAGCTTGAACTCCTACTGCACTACAATATTATATTGAATCTAAAAAAATTGTAAGGGCCTTAAACGCTTAATTTTACCTTGACTAACATAAAATCTAGAACAAAAATATTGTTGGAACCTCACTAGGCAGAATTAATTTTATATACTCCAATACATTAAGAGTGACATAAATCAATGTAGAAAATATTGTTTACTAATTTCGTTACAGTTGGCTTCGTTAATAAAATTGAGATTGAGATTGGTACACCCGATTAGGTCAAAAATATTTTCATGGGATTGTAAGGCAATTGCACACACATGCATGCTTTCTCACACATACGCACGCTTTCACGCACGCACCCACGCACGCTCACACGCAAACACGCACCCACGCACGCTCTCGCGCAACACGCACGCACGCACGCTCTCAAGCGCACACCCATACGCACACGTACATTCACACGTAAACGAACACGCATACAGAACCCACACACCTGCGTCTGCAGCCGGTGTATGAGGTGGCGGTGGTCGCGGTCCTGGTGCAGCTGCAGCTGGAAGCGCATGCGCGCGCGACGCTCCAGAGCCCGCCGGCGCTCCGGCTCCACGCGAAGCACCACGTTGTTCACCACGTCCAGCAGCATCGCGTACTGCACACACGCAACGTACACATCATTACTTTGACAGCTAGCGATTTGACAGCTATAAAAATACTTTGCGTAATGATAGGGAAAAAAAATTGGTTGCTTTAAAAACCGATTCTCGAGACATCGATTATTTAGAGTTTGTAATGGACAATGTATCTACATCGTTCAAAATTGATTCTCAAGGCATATCGTTTTAATGAATGTACGAGTTTGTAATATTTAACAGTTATTACATAAATCCAAACTAAGTTTAAATTTGGACCAGTTTCAAAGCCAAGACGTAAACTAAAATCCGACACAAATTGTATATTATGTAGGCACGCCACTGATATGCACCCGTACGAAGACGAGGCGGGTCGCTAGTCAAGAATAAAATTAACAATAAATAAATAAAATAAAATAAATAAATTCACTGAATTCGTAACATTTTTATTCTCAATTCTTATCTTAATGCCAACAAACAATTTTTTTATAAAACCGGGGAAGGAAGGCAGATCCAGCATGACAAATAATGAGGCGTCCACCCTTTCCCATTAGAACTTTTAAGCTGGATGCTTGCGTATCATACGTCCAAGACTGTGGCACAGTATGATTAGCATTTAACCATGTCTCATCAATAAATATATCCTTGTCCCAGTTGGTTATTTTATTAACTTCTCTTAAAAAGGATAGTCTTTGTAGTATTATGTCATACCTTTCCAACAATATTTTCCGTTTGTCGGTTTTTTTGTATGAAAACCCAATATTTTTCAGAATTGTTTTATAGATGTTGCACTACCATCATATAAGTATGCAGATTTAAGGGACACAAGTAATTTACTTACGGTGGGGTATTCTTGTCTTGTGTAGTAGCCGTAAACATGAGATCTAATAGCATCAACATCAGAATCATCGATACCTGTCACAGGTTTTTTTTTAGCTTTTTGGGTGTGTACAGTACATTATCTTCACAGCCAAAGGGCCTGTACTTTTCCTTTATAATATTTCGGACAGTTTTTATGCCAATTCCAAGCGCTTGAGCGACTCGTTCTTGTACTTGGGTAACTTCTAAAAGAGGCCCTCTATTTGCTGACTCCCGTTCAAAGTACTCTTGCAACTTCAAAACCAAGTTACGAGACTGACTGTTAAGAGTACGTCCTTTTTTATACATGTATTCTAGTTCACACGATAACACCAAAATCACGTAATGCGTATTCAAAGTCCGGATTTAGCAAGCCAAATATTGCAGAAACAGTGCAAGAGTGCTAGCAGAGTTAGAAAATATAATAATAACCAATAACACAAAAACTTCCAAGATAGCGAGAGACCGCGCGAAGGATTGAAGAATCAATGACGTAGAGAGAAAAAATAGAGATTATAATTAATTTTTTTCATCAAACTATTTCAAATATTAACATATTAAATATCAAAATAAAGCTAGAAATATATGTGGTCAGATTTTGTTTTTATATGTTTAAACATTAAATAATACGTTTCTCTCTTTTCTAAATGTAAAAGTATCGATTTTTCAGAACATTGATTTTATTTGGTCAAAAAATAGTTTATAACGGTCACACCACTACGGTAACGAACCCAAAGATATAACAGACATGTCCTGTGGGAATATTAATCAACGATTAATTCGTGTTTTTGAGAGCATTTTTCGAATAGAAAGTGAAACTTGGTGCTTAAGAATAATACTTATTGTCATAGTGTATGGATAACATAGTAATTATTTACGATTGTGAATTTGATTTTTCAATTTCTTACGTGGACGTTCTTACAAAGTTATCGCGGCATGTATAATGAGAAACGTCAAATCAGGCTTTTTAGATTGTCGCGAGTATAATTCTATTAATATTGTAATTTTTATTTTATCTTACATACATACATAAACACTCACCCTGCCTCAGCCTGCCACGCAGAGTGGTATGCGGAGACTACAGGCTTATTTATAATTGAATAAAATAGAGCAATTCCATTAAAAATGAAGATGAAATAGCCACGATATTAATTCAGTAACTTTTTATTAATAGCTAAATTAGCTTTCATGTAGAAAGCTAATTTTAGCGAAAGGGGATACGTAACTTATAAATATTTTTTATACTAAGTAAAAATAAATAGTTACCTATTTTTATCGCAAGCTTTCTTAGTATGCGACCCTTTTATTTACTAATCTACATGTGAAAACTTTGTAATGGTTAATTTCTATATAAATGTATTAAACAATTGACTATAAATAACAGTAAGTTTTTCTAAAAACAATAAAATAAATTAAAATTCGCAAACATGAATAATTTGAATTGTGATGTGTAACATAACATTAAAATTATAAATGTCCAAAAAAGTATAAATTTAGGCGTTTCGCAGCGTCCGTTAAGCGTTGGTGCAGACCTGCAGCGAGTTGGTGCAGACGTCGAGGTCGTGGTGCATGAGCGTGAAGGAGTCGTAGGGCTGCGGCGCGTGCGCCCAGCCCGCGCCCGCCGCGCCGCCCGCGCCCGTGTCCGTGTCCTCGTGCGTCACGTAGTAGAACTCGCACGCGCACCGCGACACGATGCGTTGCAACTGCAATAAATGTACCTACATACACATATTGTCTTTTCCAATTTAATAAATTACAACCTGACCGAATATTAGAAAAGTGAAACACAATAAAATTAATTTTATTTATACAAGTATAATTTATTATTTGTTAATGTTGTATTTTATCATATGAATAAATTTTATCTGAGGATTGAATAATCAGCACTTAATTGTGTTTCAAACTTATTTGAATTTACCCATACAAGTTACACTAGATTTGTATTATTTACAAGTGGTAAAATTATAATTTGTGTACAATCGACTTCAATATAAATATAATTTGTTGTTGATTTTTTTAAAACCGCTCTACGGATTTCGATAAAATTTAATGGGACCACCTGGGAAGTACCCTTTGAAACAAAAAAGAATTTTCCAAATCGGTTCAGGCGTCTTCGAGTAATCGGTGAACATAAATAAAAAAAAATTCCGACGAATTGACCTTTATGAAGTCGGTCGATAATGCAAATAAGATGTTTATTTAACTACTAGAAACAATGACGTCATTTTACTGGTATTCCCATACAATATCAATATAAAAAGTTTTATTTCGACACGAGTGTCAATGAATGTTAACCAATAACAATGACGACGAGTGTTATCCACCCACTTGGAAGTGTATGTGTGCGTGCGTGCATGTGCGTTTGTGGGTGCGCGTGAGTGTGTTTGTGTGCGTGCAGGCCGACCTGCGCGAGTCCCGCGTCGGCGCTGGGCCCGACAGTGCGCCCGATGACGCCGCCGGCAGAGTGCCCGCTGCCCACGAGGCGCGGCACGTCGGGCAGCGCGCTTATCTCCGCGCCCGCCCACCTCTCTTCAATTTCCTCCACCGACACCCACTGGATGTTCTCTGTGAAATACGTTTGTCCAAGGTTACCACACAGTATTCTTGAAACACGATGGTAGGTAGGGATCCCTTGATTTATTAAGGTAGAAAGCACTGTAAGATCATAGTCATTTGTACGAAAAATCTACGACAATCCAACCCTCTATGTACGGTGCAACCGCACATATTATCACCCGATCAGCATTATTGCCTCATTTACTTATTGTTATTGTTCATTGAATCAGTTCACATAGCATCGCCATACAGCGCTTTCATATACTCATTATTAGCTATTAGCAGTTTTTGAATATATCTAGTATCTACTAATTTACCTCAAGTAGCATATTTTATTTATCTTATCAGCACCTTAGGTGTAACGTACACTGTCTCATTTTGTAGGAGTCGTAAAACGTAGGAAATTGTAGATGATATTATGTAGTTATGTAGAATGTATTATTACCAAATGTAAAATATTCAGACCGGTAAAAGGAAACAACGTCAAAGTTGCAAGTTAACTGATTACGAGCGCAGATCCGTTTATCAGGTGAGGTGATGAAAGCAAATCGTCCCTACTACGGGAAAGGTCCTTGAGATTTTTATTAATAAGAACTTTATTTTAACATATTTATAATAATTTATGTTGACCGTTCTAATATAATTATACAGTGGAAACTCGATTAACTAACTAATTGCTGTCGTTAGGGATTCGGATAATCGAAAATCCGGATAATCGAATGTATGAAAAAAATCGGGTTTTGTGCATATGTAGTACATACTTAATGTTATGTGTTTATTAAAAACAACAATTACATATCAACAAAAATCAATGTTTATTAAGAAATTATTAAGATATATTTTCCAACATACGATGTATGCACTTATTTATGTACATATTTTCTTAGATGTGTGTAACGTACATACCAAAATACTGCAGCCTAAATCATGAAATAAAATATTTAGATACGTATGTTCATCATTACAGCCTTTCATAAGTCCACTGCTGAACATAGGCCTCCCCCAAAGAATGCCACAAAGCACGGTCCTGAGCCACCTGCATCCATCGACTTCGTATGTTATGTACGTATAATTTGTTTACAATATGTATTTGGTAATTTGCATTTGGTAATCATGATATAAGATAATAAGTTTAATCTGGTTTAAAATATTTGGTAATTTTCATTTGACGTAAGCCAATTTTTCTCTACAATGCTGCTATATCACAAATTCGTTTGAGCCGTAGTAAACTCACAGTATCACTCTCTGTTTGTTTTTCAAACCACTTGAGAGCTGTTTCCAGGGCCTGAAGTGCTTCATCATGAGATGGTTCTACATAATTTTCCATGTCTAAATTTCTTCTGTTTCATCTTCTTGCATTTCCTGCTGTTCATTTATCTGCAATATGTTTTCTACGATTTCGTCATCCAACATAATCTGAAAGCCTTGATCATTACTGTCACAAGTGACCCACTATTTCATATCATCATCATCACAATCCTGACATATTTGTATCTTTAACATTAGCTCATTTATATCCTCCTCCAAAATAGAATCATCCGTATTGGTTATTGAATTTTCACTATCCCGATTAAGTACTCTGCTCCAAGCCTTGTTTAAAGTTTTCTTTTCAATCAAATCCCACGCATCTACAACCATGTAAAAACATTCCGTTAAATTCATTTCCTAAAAAAATTATGAAACGACTTCTACATTATCCTCATCAACAGATAACAACCTACGTAAAAGTTGTTTTCTATAAAGTCGTTTTAATGTTTCAATAATACTTTTTTTTTACTGATAACCTCGCACATTTGCCCGTACGCATCGTCCGCGCCGTACGCAAATCTTTTGTATTACCAACAACTTTTGTAGTTTTTTTCCAACCACTGGTGTGAAACGGTACAGTTTGATCACTCGAAATCACTATGGAAAGCAATTTAGTAATAGCCTGCTTATTGGCAGAGGAAGAAGAAAATAAAAATCGAAGAAAAAGAAGATTCTGGATTCATAATATTAATTTAAAAAGGCAATTGTATTTAGAATATGAAGGGGATACACTTTATTTAAAGACTTGTTAGATGATGATGAACGATTTTTTTAGATATTTGCATTCAACATATAAGACATTTCAAGAAATTCTACATATACTAAAACTATATCTTTCCAGAAAAAAGACTTGTTGTATTTTTGAGGTAAGTATTTTTATTGATAATTAAGTAATCAGGTATAATTGGTTTTTTGAATTAAATTTAACTATTGTTTTGTTAGTTCAGTATTTAAATAATTTATCGCTAAGAATACATATTGATAATCGATGCAAAAAAAAATCAAATTATGTATCATTAATTACGAATGAATTAAAAGTTATAAAAATACAAAAATTATCATGTAAGTCGAAACCACCAGTTATAGTGGAAAATCCACTAAGTTGGCAACATTAGACAACACTGAGTATCAGCACGCGCCGAACGCGCCGCGTTATATGACGTCATCAGCATTCGTCCTTCGATATCGTATACCTATCGCATTTTATAAAATTCGGCGCGTACGGTGCGGCTATAATGTGCGAGGTTTCATATGATTTCATACAACGAATTCTAAAATTAGGCGCGTACGGCGCGTGCGGCGCGGACAAATGTGCGTTCAGATTTAATATCACTTATCGTGGATGTACCTACACCATACTTATCAGCTAACTTACGACCGGTTTTCCATTTGTTAATGAATAAATAATATTTATTTTGTTTTTAAGCGATAACACCACTATCTTTATCATTACAGCCTTTCATAAGTCCACTGCTGAACATAGGCCTCCCCCAAGGAATGCCACAAAGCACGGTCCTGAGCCACCTGCATCCATCGACTTCCTGCATGTCTTACCAGGTTGTCACTCCATCTCGTGGGGGGTCGCCCTACACTTCGCCTACCGATGCGAGGCTGCCACTCAAGAACCTTTCTTCCCCATCGGTTGTCGGTTCTTCGAGCTATATGGCCGGCCAACTGCCACTTCAGCTCACTAATCCGTTGTGTTATGTCGGTTACTCTGGTTCTACTGCGGATATCCTCATTACCTAAGTTTATCACGCAGAGAAACTCCGAGCATAGCCCTCTCCATAGCTCGCTAAGCGAACTTGAGCTTCCTCATACGGCCAGCAGTGAAGGACCACGTCTCAGATCCGTAAGTCATCACTGGCAACACGCACTGGTTGTACAATTTCGTTTTAAGGTTTTGAGGTATACCTGACGAGAAGATGTGTCGTAGTTTCCCGAACGCTGCCCAGCCGAGTTGAATCTGTCGATTGACCTCTCGGTCGAAGTTGGAATTACCTAGTCGGACTATTTGTCCCAAGTAAACATACTCGTCAACAACTACGAGCTTAGTGCTCCCAACAACTACCGGCATAGGTGTGACATGGACATTAAACATAATATTTGTTTTGTCCTTGTCCATCTTAAGACCTATCCGTTGGGAGACACTATTGAGGTCATTGAGCATAGTGCTTAGGTCCTCCAGCGATTCTGCCATAAGGACTATATCGTCGGCAAATCGAAGGTGAGGGATGTACTCGCCATTGATGTTAATACCGTATTCTTTCCAGTCCAGAAGCTTGAAAACGTATTCCGATGCAGCGGTGAAGAGTTTCGGGGATATAACGTCACCCAGTCTTACACCTCTCTGCAATTGGATAAGTTTCGTACTGTGGCTCTGTACTCGGATAGCCATCGTAGCCCTACTGTACAAGCATTTCAGCACTTCGATATACCGACAGTCAACTTGGCACCGCTGAAGGGACTGCAGCACCGCTCAAATTTCGACGGAATCAAAGGCTTTCTCATAGTCCACATACGCCAGGCATAGTGGCAAATTGTACTCCTCGGACTTCTGTACAACTTGCCGAAGGGTATGTATGTGGTCTATGGTGCTAAAGCCCTTTCAGAAACCGGATTGTTCGGGAGGCTGGAAGTCGTCAAGTCTGCGTGCGAGATGATTCGTAATAGCTCTCGAAAACAGCACGTAGACGCGGCTCAGAAGGATAATCGGTCTGTAGTTCTTCAAGAGAGCATTGTCACCATTCTTGAAGAACAAGATTACCGCACTTCTGCTCCACGCCTCCGGTATAATGCCACCATGGAGGACGTAATTAAAGAGCCGCTGAAGGACTTCCAGTACCGGTTTTTCACCCGCTTTCAGAAGGTCCGCTGTAATTCCATCCTCGCCTGGGGCCTTGCCGTTTTTAAGATGCTGGAGAGCCATTTTAATCTCGCTCAGACTGACGTCCGGGATATCTTCGGAATAGTGTCGGATAACTCTCCGCTCCACCACTCTCTTACGATTTGATATTTTTAAATATGTAGAAGACACGCACGTCAGAGCGGAGTAACAATTGCTAGCTAACTAAAACAATAACGAAACGCGTGGGACGGCGCGGTCGGGGTAATGCCAGTACCGACATGTTCATGCTTGCATAAATTCGACACGTAGTACATATTTTAAACATTTTGTAACTTGGCTCAATATGACTTAATTATTTAATTGGTCGTGGTTGATAGTCCGAATAATAGCGAATCCGTATAACTAAGGGCCGGATAATCGAGATTCTACTGTAATATAAATGATATAATGAAATAATTTAACTGTAGATATGTATTAGATTTAATTATAACTATAATATTTGTATACCCTTAGGGTTGAATGCAGCGAACACCATTTTTTGTCTCATTACCGGTATTCAGACAAATAAATTTGAATATGAAAAAAAATCAATCCTGGTGGGTCGTAGTCATATTTACATTGTGCTCATTGGTTCTTATATCCGTATATAACATCATAGGTTCTTAATACGCAAAAACCGAATTAAATTATTTTATTTTAGTCTGGTGATCCTGATCAGGATACAGGGTCGGGATATGAAAAAAAAAGGTAAAGTTATTGTATTGTCATCTGTCCTTGATATGAGTGCTAATTTTTAGGTCAATCGGCCGTCTACGAGTTGTTGAAAATTACATTAAAAGTAGACATGGAACGA